ACTGCGAGTACTTCTGTTAGAGAAATTCAATATATCAATTATAATGGCCTAAGAGAAGACCTAGATAAATATAATTGGACCAATTATTACTCTGAAAATAATGTTAACATTTTGGCTAGCCAACTGATAAAAATACAACCACAAAAAAATTGAATAGATCAAGCGAAAGCCTTGGATTGTAAATTCTGTTAATAAAAAAAATCGTCTATATTCTAAGTACTTGATGCAGTCAGAAAATGAGCAGGTGAATATAAAAGAAAATTAGAAAATATCATACGAAATGCTAAATACAATTTTTACAAGAAACATATAAATAAGAACAAAGATACTCCTAAGAACTTGTGGAACGTAGTTAATAGACTCTGTAAATGCAGTTCTAAATGTGCAGTTAAGGAAATAGTTGATGAAAATAAATTAGATTTCTTTGTAAATATTGGCAAATAATATGCTGAACGCATTGTGAGGACAGAAAAATATACCGCAAAGGAAAATAAATCAAAGTACATTTTTCTTAGAAGCGGTAGATGTAACTGAAGTAGCCTCAATCATTAACACATTTAAAAAATGGTAAATCGCCCAGTTTGGACAACTTGAAGTCCTGACTGACATTATTTCAATGCCGCTGTCACTTAATCAACCGGATTTATACTTCTAATGAAGTTCCAGAAGGATTCAAAATAGCTTTAGTTACACCTGTACATAAAAAAGGTGATGTAAAATGTATAAATAACTATAGACCAATATCTGTCATCATAAATATAGCTAAAATATTTGAGAAAACTTTGGAAAATAGGCTAGTTAAATTTTTGGACAAATGCAAATATCTTTCAGATAAGCAATGCGGTTTTCGAGAGGGAATATCAACCAAAGATGCAATTGCTAAATTAACAGAACAGATTAGAAAAAGATTAAAATTGAGTACACCGGTACTGTGCGTATTCTTGGATCTTACCAAGGCTTTCGACACAGTGAATCACCAGCAGATGATGGAGACCTTGGAGGATGCAGGAGTACGAGGCGGACCTTTACAGTTGTTTACAAGCTATCTGTCAAATCGAAAACAAGTAGTGAAAATTAGTGACACATTCAGTAATGAAAAGACAGTTGATTACGGTGTACCTCAGGATACTGTGTTGGGTCCAATCTTGTTTACAATTTACATAAATAGCATTCTAACTTCTTCGTCAGTTGGTCAAGTGTTTAGCTTTGCAGATGATACGGCAGTCCGGTATGATGATAACACTTGGGAAAATGTAAAAATTAAAGCAGAGCGGGATCTAGGAACTATTTTTGATTACTTTGCTCATAACCTTTTAACCCTGAGCTATGAGAAAACATTCTTTATGCCTTTTTCTAATACAGTACGTTGTCTACTTGGGAATAAAGAACTTTTAATAAATCAAAGTATATCGTTAACATATGTGAAAACCTATAAATACCATTGATCGCCACTTGAGATGGGATGTTCATATAGCTAACATTACAAATACCTTACGACAACTCTTATATCGCTTTAAATACTCAAAACATCTCACAGACTACATGCATTTGAAAATGTATTATTCAGTAGCTGAATCACATCTACGATACGCTATTTTGAGTTAGGAAAGTGACGCATATTGTCATTTGCAGCCTCTGGATATATGTTACTGCAAAAAAGAATGCTGAAGGTAATATCTGGCAAAAAATGAATTATCCTTCTGATAAATTATTTTCAGAGACTGGAGTGTATGACCTAAGGCAACTGTTTCTGCATGAATTAATTCAATTCATATACAAACACAAACATAATTTCAATAAAACTAGCCATGCTTATGTGCTAGATATAAAAAAATGAAAACTTAAAAATACAAACTTATCAAAGAAATCTAAGCTTGCGATGCCAAACCTACCTATCATGTAAAATTTATAATTGTTTGCCATACGTGTACCGTATGTATGTTGATAAAATAAACTCATCGTCTTTGATAAAATCTTCATTAACAAAATATATTTTTTTAATTTTTAGACAAGAGACACGAAATCTAGTAGAAATTATTTACTAGAAATCGTACTACGCTAGTACTACTCCTCCTCACCCTCCATGTTTCTGTAGTTAGTGGAATAAACTTTATTACTAACTGCTACTCCTCCTTACCTTCCGTACTTACAATGTTCTTGTATAAAATCCTGCTCTAAGCAAAATTTATTATCAAAATTATATCAAAAAAAATCCGTCCGTGCAAAACCAACTATTTTGGTTTCAATGGGCTTTACAAGATAATTTAAGAAAATTCTGTGACTGATAAAACATGTTAACTTAAGATTATTTTGTGAAAGTCAGGTATTAAGTTTTATTTTACGTTTATTGTTGTACTGAAGTTAGCATTTGTATTTATTAACAAATTGTATTTTGTGGGAAAATAAACGTATACTACTAGGTACTACTACTACTACTACTATTTTTTGTATTCCTTATGACTCCAAATCTCTTATCGCACGGAAGGAACCTGTCTCTGGGTTCGGGGTTCCCGTCCTGTGTTAGACTGCCAGCACTGTGCAAAAACCAGTCAAGTCCAGGACTTGACCGGTTCATACAAAGTGTAAAATCGTAGGCAACCAATTATACACTTCAGTTTCAACAGTTCAAATTTTATAGAGCTTGTTTATGCACCAAAAGGCTCAGAATTCAAAACAGTGCATGAATATAGACCCAACTCATTTTGCCCAAAAAATTGACTTTTTTACTTTATAAATTCTGCACAAAAATTGTCATTTTCCATTGTCATCTAAAACAGTCATCACAGACAAGGGCACAAAAAAGGGTTATATTCTATCCATGGGTTGCCATTTGACATTCAGAACCGCATAAAAAATGCCACCAAATCAAAGGTGATATTGGCCTTCATTGTTAGAAACGACGACGTCACGAATAGCTAGTTTGACACCTCTTACAAAATAACGAAGTCAATGCCAAACACGACTACAACTATTTAAAACTGTAATGACTCATACGCGTGATCAACACGTGATCAAAGCTCGATCCCGGCTTCCTTCCAGTACAGCCGTATAGCGTACGACATATGTCGTTTCTGTGGCTTTGCGGTGGTCAACAGCACAGACAGAGATGGAAATAATGGCTGATTGTTCTCCGCCGGTAGAACCAATGAAATCAAAGACGCGCCTCGACCGGCAGACTCATAGGCGTCGGCAACGCATTGGAACGTGTTTCGTTGAGCGATCGCATATTGTGTGTTTCTATAAGAATTGTTGTATGATTGTTACTGTTGTGGTTTCTGTGGTTACTGTTTGGGTTATACTTAACCATGGAGAGTACAAATGGCACGAGTGGAAGTACTGAAAGCCAGGGAACAAGTAGACGGCTTCGTAAAGCACTGAAGAGGGACGCGAAAGAAATCGTGCTCAACGTGTTCAATTATCTGAACAGAACTATGTTGCAGGGAGATGCACTCGCGCGTTGTGAAAGTATGACAGGCGTTCCAGAGTGGACCATTCGCAGGGTGGTGCATGAAAAGAAGAAAACTGGAGCTACTACTGATCCAAAGTTTAATTTGAAGGTACGGAAGGCCGTTAAATTGGATGACGATAGCAAAATGGCGTTAAGGCGAACCGTACATTCATTCTTCTTTAGGAATGAGATACCAACCCTCAAGGCTGTACATGCAGCGATCAAGGAAAATGAAATTATACCCCAAATGAGCGTCGAGGTAATGAGGAAATCCCTGCACGAAATTAATTTTTCGTTACGAAACGCGTAATCGGAAGTCAGTATTGATAGAGAGACCTGAAATAGTCGCCTGGCGTCGAAAATACCTACGCGAAATGATTGAATATAGGCAACAAAGCAGAAAAATCTATTATTTGGATGAGACATGGGTAAATGCAGGTCACACAGTTAAAAAACCTGTATAGACAAAAACGTAGTGAGTAACCGACAAGCAAGCATTGAAGGTTTGTCAACAGGTCTTCGTGGACCGTCAGGGAAAGGTCAAAGATTGATTGTAACTCATATTGGTAGCGATAGTGGCTTTTTAGAAGAGTGTGACTTGATTTTCGTCTCTAAGAAAGGAGGTGATTACCATGACGAAATGAATGCCAGCTGCTTCGAGAGCTGGTTTCAAGGGGTGCTTGAGCGAGTTGAGCCCAACTCTGTGATCGTCATGGATAATGCTTCCTACCATAGTCGTCGAGCCGAACGTGTACCGACTATGGGATCTCGAAAAAGTGACATGCAGCAGTGGTTGCGCGAAAAACGAATCCCGTTTGACGATTCATGTGTGAAAGCGGAATTGTATGAAAAAATTAAAGAGCACAAACCTGCGAACATTAGTTACGTGACTGATGAGATGGCCCGTCAATGTGGTGTCACTGTGCTGCGGTTACCGCCCTACCACTGTGAACTGAACCCAATAGAGCTCATCTGGGCTCAAGTGAAGGGTTATATTGCGCGCCATAACACAACCTTCAAATTACCAGACGTTAAGGTTTTACTTGAGACTTCCATACAGCTAGTAACGCCCGAAGCTTGGCAGAATGCTATCCATCATATTGTGAAGAAAGAAACAAAAATGTGGCAGCTTGACCACCACATCGACACCATCATATAGCCAGTTAGGTATAGTCAACTTCAACGAGGAAAGCGATAGCGACAGTTTATTACTGTCAGATGTAAGTGGAAGCGACGATGAATAAAGGTAATTCCCAAATTTTTGACTTACAATATGTTTCAAACCACTCTTTATTAAGCATATGACAAATCTAGCTCACCCATGTTAAACATTCATACCCCGCCTATGAACAGCCGACTACTGGTAGTTAGGTGATGTTCACGTGAACATTGATGAGTCATTACAGTTTTAGATAGTTATAGTATAGTACCCGTAGTTTCTGTACACCACCTGTGTCTCACTCTATTTCTGTTTCTCTGTCTCTGTCGTCTCTACCCTCTTCCTCACCCTATCTCCTCTTCTCTGTCATAGCTGTTTTCTGTGGTGATGCAGGAGGCGGCCGTGGCAGCAGCGACCGCCGCCGGGAGCAACGCTCACGGAGCGCCATCCAGCGGTCATTCGGGCAACAACAGCGACGCCGAAGTCGGCGAAGTGACGTTGGCCGATATGAGCCCCGAGGACATCCGCGCCGAGCTGAAGAGGCTCTATCTGCAGCTGGAGATGTTCAAGAGCAAGACGATTTGCAAGGACAATCCGCACATATCGAAGAGGCGGGGCGGAAGGAAGGCTCAACATAGGAGGTTCAGTCTGCAGGTAGGTACATTATTTGTCACTTTAAAGAGGACCTCCTATAATTGAATGAGTCATTTCAAAAACCGCATAGGTCACATTTTTTCTATGATGCTTTCTAATTCCTAAGCCGCTGGGAGACGAATAACTCAATTTTGGACATTGGAAAAGCGGCCCAGTGGTGATGGGGAAAAGGGCAATAAACGAAAAAAATAATGATCGCTTAAATTTCGTTTCCTGACGTGTCAGAGGGTCCTGATCATTTTCAAAAAGATTGTTCAGGGTTTGAAAATTGCAGATTGGGAGTTGTAGGGGATGTCTTAAGTTTTGCATATGGAAATAAAACAACACGGTAGGTAGTTTTAAACGACTTTATTGTTTTTCGAAATATTTTACACATTTGCATTTGCAATAACTATACAGGGTGTCCGCAAAGTTGGGGTTTTCCTTTTCAGAAAGAACTACCCTTGAAATAACAAAGGTAATGTGTAGTGAAACGAGGGCGACCAAGTAAAAAAAAATAAAGGAAAAAGTACTCACTCTCCACTTGACGAGAAGGGCTAAGTACGTCTCTGCCCGAAATCATACCGTCCAACAGAAAATGAAATCAGCCGAAGCGCTACCGAGCAGACGCAGAAAGCACATTGATTGTCTTACACTTAATGGCACATCTTCTAACAAGGAAGGCAAAATGTTGCGTAAAAAGTCTAGATCCCGTCCAAACGATTTGGGAGCATAAATGGTCCAATGAGCATACCGTTCACCATGCCAGCCCAAACATTCATCGAAAATGTTTGTTGAAAATGTGCCCGACGGACAGCGTGCGGATTTTCTACATGAGTGTTGCGAAAGTTATTCACCCCATTACGCGTGAACGTAGATTCGTCTGTCACCAATATGCACTTCAAAAGGTCTAGATTATTGTCATGTTAATGCAACAACCACTCACAAAACCGCACTCTTGCCGGAAAATCGTCAGGTTGAAGTGCTTGTACACGTTGGACGTGAAACGGATACAGCCCCTCTTCACGCAGCGTTTGCCACACTTTAGTTTTTGATACTTGCACTTCTCTAGCCACGTCTCTAGTGCTTGTTGAGGGATTCTCGTCTACGCGATTACCTCTACATGCGTGACCGTAACCGTCGGTTGAAGGTTGCATACTGACCTGACACACTGACCCCGACCCAGTTCTGCTGTCGGGTTGAGACCTTGTACCAATCGGTGATGTCCCGGATCGCGGCTACAGGATGGTATTCAGATATTTTTGATGTTGCAGAGCCCTTTATCTCGGTTCCCTTAAGACATTGGTGTGTATATGGTACTAAGAAAAATTGCTTATGTTTTCAAGATCTACACGTCGTGTAAAGGAAAACCCCAACTTTGCGGACACCCTGTATATATTATTTCACATGGTATCTAAAAAATTATAGTAAACTTTTTTTTACTCGGAAAATATGAACATAACTAGGTGGTAACCCAAACATACTTTCTTTTAAGTCCTACAGTTAATGGCAGATGTGGATAGGCCCTTCCAATCGAAGAAATTTGAGATACTATAGGGCTTTACTTTAAAATTGTTGGGATACTGGACAACCAATCCAAAAAAAAAATCGCGCAGCTTTGACAACTCGCTGGTCCGCAAGTGTTACAGCGGAAGTACTGACTTTTTCGTAAAAACATTTTGTTACTTCATATTTTGTTTGCATCTATTTACTTTCTTAGCTTTTTGGATAGTTAGTACAGGGTGTTCAAGGAGGCAAAATTAACTATGATATTTCTCAAAATTTTCAAACATACCCTTTATCACAAGCTTTTTTCTGATCCTAGGTTTACCAGGGTCGTGCAACTGGTTTTTCTCACCTTACCTCAATAGGTAGATGAAAAATATTCCGTTTATAACGTTAAGAATTGTTGTATATAATATATAATTTTTATCTAGTTTGAGATACATTTTACAGGAAATCGAACATATTTATTAGATCGGATACTTCAAAAACGCGTTCTCATTAGTCAAATTTGTGACATAGGCAAAAAATTGTGCACGCCAAATTAGTATAGCAATAATACTAAAATTACCGGGGTCGTACAACTGGTTTTTCAGTTACATCTAACCTTTTTGTAAATAAGATATTGAGGTAGATGAAAATAGTACAACACCTTCCAAAGTAAATCCGTTTATAACGTTAAGAATTGTTGTATATTCATTGTAAATTAAATCAAGCCAGCTTATATGCAATAACGTTGAAAAGTCAGTAAGATATCCCTGTAACTATTTGCACAAGCACACCTTATATCAAAAAGAAGCTACTGAAAAGGGGATTCAAGAAATGTGGAATGTGGATGTTTTGTTTAAAAATTATGACCATCCTGTATTGCCTATACAAGAAACCGAAAGTCTTATAATTTTTATCTAGTTTGAAAGACATCTTACAAGAAATCGACCATACTTATTAGATCGGTTACTTCAAAAACGCGTTCTCATTGGTGAAATTTGTGCCATAGGCACAAATTGTGCACCCCAAGTTAGTAAAATCCTTGTACCGTAATGACAATAAGACATGCAAAGTTTAAACACGTCACATATTAGTAAGTCAATAATAATAAGCAATGGAAATATGGTTAATGACATTCTTTGGCATAAGTCATTTCCTGAAACAAACAAACAAAAGTCCAGAAGGTGTATTATTAAAGTATATTAATAACTGTGGAGGTTAAAGCCCAAATACCATATTAAACCCAAAAAGGTTCTTTGAAGAATTTTGTTTATTTGCTAGTGAAAGTCTTTATTGTCTGCTAAAAAATTGTGTTTTCAAAATGACTGATTCAATCACATTTTTTTTAAGGTTGTTTTGCTGTCTTATGGAAATCCTCAGTTTTTATACACCAAATTCCAACGAGTTTTTCTGTATCAATTCCGAAAATTTCGCACAGCGAATTCTTTGTTTTATCGAAAATGGCTTGTTCGTACAAAAATAATGTACCTTATATAGGGTGTCCCAGAATGAATAGCCCAGCTGTTGGTTTCAATCAAGACACAAAAACTAAAATGTCTCTTAAAGAATTTCCTATGGGGCTCCCCCATACATTAACGTCTAAGCAGCACTGAATAATTCAACGAATTTTTAGCAGGACTGTAGACAGTTGGGGCTTCACATGATGGAGTCCATAGAAGACATTTAACTTGTTCAGATCATTATGGACGCATCGCTAAGTATACTTTTGACTGAAAATAAACGTAAATTTGACATCAATAAATGTGCTGTTTTTTTTTTGTCTTGCTTCAGTACCGTTGCGATACGGTTAGCGTACAACAGAAAACGTTGGTACGAGTAACATTCACTGTCCTCAGTGACAGATTCTGGTAGAAGAGACTCAGGCTGATGATTGCCAATAAGCGTAAAACACACACGGTTGGTTGAATCTGCTACAGCAGGGCTATTTGTAATCCTTCCTTTCCGCAAAAAGTCCACAAAAGATGGAATGCAATGAAGATTCCAACTTTTCTGCACAATCACAGAAAGGGGGTTACCATTAGCTTCCGGTAGCTCAGTCGGTGGCATGAAGACATCTACAGGCGTGTAGCTGTGTGTCGACCATGGCATGGCTAGAGGATAGAAGAACAAAAAGAACGCAAAAATTTAACAGATTTTATTTAACTAGAAAAACATTTTCATTACATTTGAAATTGAAATTTTAAAGAACAAAAATAAAAGATTTAAATCTTTGGCGCTGTTACAAAATCAACCACTTATCTTTCGCTAAGCTGGTCCATTTTGACTGGACTGAAGCGAGGATGGCCAAGGGCTTCAAGTGGAGGTCCCAGTTATGAGGGGTGACCTCATATTTAGTGGCTTCAAAACTAGATGTAGGCGAAGGATGCAGTGAAGTTGAACTTAAACGTGATCTTCATCAAGGATGAAGCTGTAAGTGATGGCGCAGCCAAGGCACATGCATGGGTGAAGGCACGGCAAAGTGATAGGCCAAGCAATAGGTAAGCCAAAGTCAAAGACAAAGGAAGGCAAAGTCAAAGACAAAGTGGGTGGCTCCAATCATTTTATCCTATTTAGACACACATTTTACAAAATGCTAGCACATGGTGCTATATGACCTCATGCTACAGAGAACAAAATTCTCAGCTCTTCTTAGATCGGCGGCTGAAGTGAAAAGGAAACGAGAGGAAGATCACAGATAGGAACTCCGCATCAAGCGCGCTCCAAGCGGAAATGTTTCCAAGTAAAAAAGCTAGAGATGGGATTAGTGAGTTACGATTCTGAAATGAAAATACAATCCGACGGTGAAACCGTTACATATTAGATTCGATTATTTATTCTCGGACACCTTGCTTACTTGGTATGTTCTTGTATATTTCATGATTACCAAGGAACAACCAATCATTTAGATTATGCTTGATTTTCTATTATCAACGGTTTTTTTTTTATTTTAGTAACAATTTACATAACTTGTTGGGGTTCGATACAATAATTTAATATAATACCCGTTTCAATTGTAATATCCCTATCATATGAATTATTTGCTTTATGAAAAATATTATATCAGCAACAAAACCAATTTCAGTGGAACATCAAAGGTTCGGATCAAGTACAGGTGTGCAAATATTTACATTCCCTATTACTATTATATGCGTTCGAACCTATAAGATACGGGATGTTTATAAAAGAAGTTTTGGATTGCAAGTGATATTACAGCAGTATATGTTCCAGATTCAACAATTTCAGATTCCCTTATTTGCTTTTTAGTTTTTTTTCATCAATCAGTTCTGGTACAGTTATCCTTGTCACATATCAAAGGGTAGTGGATTTTATGGGCAGATTTTTTTATTTTAGCGATTTTTCTAGAACAAGATATGCCTCTGGCATGGCTTCAGAAGATAAGAACTTGTACGTTTCGGTATAGGTTGCCTGGTAGCCATTCAGCTGGCTCTCGGTTTCTAATAAAATGTGCATAGTAAAAATTTTAAAGTGATCCTCATCACAGAATGTACGTACTTGTTGGATCTATGACATAAATATAATGCTATAATAACATCTAAAGCTGAGAACTTCTTTTATAAACACCCTGTATACCTGTATATATCTAGAGTGCTTCCTTAATGCATTTGTAATATAAAAACTAAAACTAAATACCTTCATACCTTTTTGTATCATTGATAGTCCTGCATATTTTGATACGTTGTTGTTGAATCTGTGTTTACCTTTCTTAGTTCCTAATAAAGTATCTATCACAAAAATATAAGAAGCACACTTTATCTTGGTATCTTTGAAGGACACAAAGAATAATTTTTTTACTAAACGACAACTTTGATTATCGCTATACAGGGTGACTCGATAAGTGGTCACTCTCTCGAATTCATGTAGGAGACGTAATGTGACCTCACGGAGATACAGGGTCCTGATGATACTGTTTAACACTTTAATAGCCTAGATTAGCTATTTATTGAAGTAAACCTAGCAACACCTTCGATTGTATGTCACAGATAACTAGAATAGTAGGACTCAGTTCATAGGTATACCGAATGCAGAGAGATATTATTTGTTGTTAGGTATGATCGTTTCTTACAATTACGAGCCCCTTCTCACTTCAGTTGGCCCACTTCAAGATTTGTACCAAAATATGCCTTTATAAACTAAACATGATGAAACTATTTACTTCTAAAACAATTTATTTTCTCAAACACATTTTAGATACACTCTAGTCGTAAAAAATATATATTTGAAATCACTTAGACCTATAACTACTAGAACATCTGAACAAATAAACAATGTGCGAATAAATGCGAGAAATTTGATTAGGGAGTGATAAAGGTGGTGTTTTCTACTATATATTATCAAAATAATCATTGTTAATATTTGAAACCTGTAACGCCCTGCTACATTTTTATTATTTGTGTTTGATAAGAAAAAAACTAAGATTTCAATAGTTGGGCCAACTGAAGTGGGAAGGGGCAAATCGTGCAAAATAAAATAAGCGTGTGTGGTGTCAAATTATTCGTAAGAAAATGGTGTCTTAGAAAAAGCCGACGAACCACCCAGATTTTGTTTGAAAAAATCAAGTAAGCTGAAAATATTAGTGTCTGTAACTTTTAGAAAATTTTTAAAACTACTGTAAGGTCATTTGCCTCAAAATCGTTTTTTTTTTTCGTGTTACTTGATCAAAAATGAAGCGAATTACAGGATTCATGGCAATCTAGATCGAAAAAGAAAAATTGAAATAAAAATGACTTAATTTGTCAAATGAGACGTTATCGAGTTCAGAATGTCAATCTCGATCGAAATAAGTACGTCAAAGCAAGTGAATATGTCAAGAAATGTAAATTCATCAATAATACGCAACCCCCAAATTTCGTTTTTCTATATTCAATAATGAAAAAGTTATAATATACAGCGTGACTTTGAAGTTGAGTCATTAATTTTCAGATAATGATTGTAGAAGGAAGATAAACCAAAATATGTGTGTAAAAATAAAAAAAAATTAAAAAAAAAATTACCTTGTTTTATAAAGTATCCTCCCGACAAGTATTTCAGTGCGGACCTGTATTTGATCGTGAGGTCCTGGAGCACCGGCATGCCGTCCCCTGTGAGGTCTTAAGTCACCTGATTCACGAGCCCGTTGTACTACATTAACAAAGGCACGAGGGGTTGGTTGCACTCGATTGGGAAACCGATCCGCATAAACATGTGCCATTTTTTATTTCGTTTGAGCCACGCAACAGACACCACTATTCACTCACGCGTTACCGACTGATACTGACTGTATACAACTGAATAAAATAATTGTAAAAACATCGTTCCAAATTCTTTCGCTTTTTTGTTTCCGATGCGATGAATCGATAAGGCGGATTATATCCGTTATTGCCAAACACGAGCACATAATATTATTATTGAGACAGGGCGGTACTCAAACTTCCAAAGGGCTATAACTTTGTTACTCTAATTTTACCAGAAAAATGGTAAAGAAAAAAAACATTTCTTTTGATCACATCTACTCACTGTTAAAGTAAATGACTCAACTTCGAAGTCACCCTGTATATAGCCCTTGGAGAATCACTCTTACCGACATTTTTTTACAAATTGTTTATCATTCTAGCAAGTCTCACAAGAGAAATAAAGTCCATCACTGGCCACGAAATAAATAAATGGTGCTCTTCTCAATAACTAAAAAAAAGTCTGGTTAGGATTTCCTAAATATCTTTAATACCCACATCGAGCGCAACGAAGATAGAGTGAATCTACTCGGCGCCCTCCTACTCATAAGGACTTGTTACGTTATTTCCCTGTATTCTGCATGCATTCGAGAGATTGAACACACTTTCTGGCATATCATTCTGGATTATAAGTTTTTATTTTCATGTTTACAACTAGAGTGATCTTTGCGTTTTTCGAGTTTATTCCCGCGAATACAGTGCAGCTAAGGCTAATTTGTCCTCAATGCTATATAGTTAGTTTCTCTTTACCTTTGCCTTTATGCTGCAAAAGCAATAAAACCGCTCCACTTTAACTTGACCAAAGGGGCAACAAACCTTTTTGAGCGAAATTCTGCTTTACAGTGCTCTGATTTAACCTAGGGCAGTTTGTATTTCTGAGTGTTTCCTTTTACTTGAAACATCATAATTAGTAGTCCTTCAAAAGTACCCTTTCTCACTCTCTCACTGTGTATAGATAATATCCTCCTTTGATATGCGCAACAAAGCTTTTCCTACACGATGCATTATGCCCTTTGACACTACGCTGTGTACGGTTCTCACTTTACTTTTTTCATGTTACATGCAGAAAAAAGGGAGCAGAGAAAAGGTAAGTACATAATGAGTATTGTTTACAGTAGATAGAGGTGACGCAAAAAAGTTATTTGATGGATAGCTACAATTTTCACTGGAGCATATGAGAAGAATAACAGAACTACAAATTTAACAATCCGTGCATAAAAGACCAGGCACGAAACACATGGAAAATGGATCCAAATCGATCTGTCAGGTATATTTGGTATACAGGGTGTCCCAGAAGTCGACGTCAAGCCGAAACCGGGTGATACGCAAAGTCATAACAGCTATCAGAAAAATATTTAAAAAAAATTTATGTATGTGTTTTGAAAATTATAGGTCTTTGAAAAAAATATAGAAATTTCACACCCTACGGCAGTCTGTCAACTCCTGTAACTACAAATATTAACTTTTTTTGGATTTTATTTTTACAATGTGATGACGAATAATGCATCTGTCTCAACCTTACTGCCAACTTTTCTCGTTCAGGAAAAAATGCCACTTATTTCCGAACCAAGTATTCCAAAGTAAAACTTTGCTCAACTTTAACTGGCTGTACTGGAAAAAAATGTACTACGAGAGTTTGGCAAGTAACCTTAAAAGTTGGCGCTTTTAATAACGATTCCAAAATGGTATAACACTTAGAAGATTACTCGTTAACTTATACACAATTTTTATTTGAAAAAAAACTGATGAAAATTTTTCAAAATTTCCTAATTAAACAGCGATTATGAAAACGCACAAGGACCCTTAAGGATAACTGTTTGCACAACAGTGGGCGTCAAAATGCTGCTGATGATGATTTACCTTTTCAGCAAATGCTCAAACTGTTTTCCTTCAGCCGCAATAAACGCTCGACATCTTCTTAAAAAAGATCGAGTTATTAAACGAGCGAATCCACGGTTATTAACAAACTCAGCTGCTTCCAACAGTCTTTGCCGTAGCTCAGCTACATTTCGAATCGGCTTGAAATACACTTTTTCTTTTACAGTTCCCCAGTAAAAAAATCTAAAGAATTCAAATCAGGTGATCGGGCTGGCCACGGTATTGTACCAGACCGCCTTATCCATCTGCCTGGAAAATTTTGATCGAGATACTCTCTCACTGAGAGTGCATAGTGCGCTGGGCAGCCATCTTGCTGAAACCACATGTCCCTGTAAATACTCAGTGGCACGTCCTCCAATAAATTTTCTAAATGATTTTGCAAAAAACCTAAATAAACCTCAGCAGTCAAAGTCTCTGGGAACTCAAACAGACCGATTATTTTACCATTTAAAATTCCTGTCCAGTGGTTTATCTTGAAGCAATAATGAGATTTATCTTCTCTCATCAAATGTGGGTTTGCTACGTGCCACTCGTGTAAGTTATGCAGGTTCATGTACCCATCTTTCTTAAATGTGGTCTCATCCGACCATAAAATTTTTTCAAAGAACTGTGGATCTTTCCTGTGTCTTTCTAACATTGTGCGACAAAAAGCAACTCGGGGCTCATAATCCCGGGGCAGGAGAGGTTGAATACGCTGTACATATGTGGTATGGATGAAGCACATCACTTACTTGCTATTGCACACTTTGATACCGATCAGTACTCCTTCGTTTACTGAGCATCTTGACATATTCGTGCTTGTTGATTTCGTACTGTTACTAATTTTGGGTTCGTGAACTGGACCGTTGATCGCTTGTGATTAGGATTTGGACTGTTTTGCTCTTCAAAACAACATTTGCTTTCCTTAGACTATATTTGATAGTGTGATTGTGCAGTGCCGCTATGTCCGTGTACACCGTACAAGAATATGCTAACATGCACCTCATTTATGGGGAATGCAGATGCAACGCTAGTGCTGCAGCGAGACTTTACTGTGAGAGGTACCCGAATGCATCCAGATCAACGAGTGTTCACAAATGTGCACCGCTCACTGTTCTCAGAGGGCCAACTACCAAACCAATCACACGGTGAGGGAAGATCTTTCCTTCCTTACGAAGACGTGGTGCTAGGAGCTGTCGAAGAAGACCCGAGTACTTCAGTGCGTGCAATAGAACTAAAAACAGGTGTGCCCAAAAGTACAGCCCATAGAATCTTGCAAAAAAACGTGCTCCATCCATACCACGTACAGCGTGTTCAAGCTCTTCTGCCCCGGGATTATGAGCCCCGAGTTGCTTTTTGTCGCACAATGTTAGAAAGACACAGGGAAGATCCACGGTTCTTTGAAAAATTTTATGGTCAGATGAGACCACATTTGATGAGAGAAGATAAATCTCAATATCCGTTTGAGTTCCCAGAGACTTTGACTGCTGAGGTTTATTTAGGTTTTTTGCAAAATCATTTAGAAAATTTATTGGAGGACGTCCACTGAGTATTTACAGGGACATGTGGTTTCAGCATGATGGCTGCCCAGCGCACTATGCACTCTCAGTGAGATAGTATCTCGATCAAAACTTTCCAGGCAGATG